CTGGCCCGACGCCGGGCTCAGCGCAACTGCCTCCTCTTCCCGGGCAAGCCCGGCCCAGGTAATAACAGCCCTGCATGAAACCACCCCACCCAGAAACCTCGCCCCTCCCCGCTGTACCTGCTCCAGCATCTGGATGGTCCCAGCCTGCTCATCCAGTTCCTCCTCCTGGTCTTTGACCTTTGCCTCCAGGTCCCTCAGCTGTTTCTTCACCTTGGCTAGGGAGGCTTCGTCCTTTGACTCCTGGGAGGAGATGTCCTGAAGCTCTGCCTCCAGTGCCTCAGCCTTCTGTGTCAGCCCCACGATGTCAGAGTCTTTGTCCTGCAAGAGAGGGGGTCACCGTCAGACCAGGGCACCCCGTGGTTGGGGGGCTGCAGAAGGGGCTGGGGGTCACTCACCTCCAGCAGCTGCTTGAGGCCAAAGACCTCAGCCACCAGCACGTCCTTCTCCCGGCTCAGCTTCTCCCGCTGCAGCCGTTCCCGCTGCGTCTCCTCATGCGCCTGCGAGAGCTCACTGTCAAACCTGCGCAGGGAGAGCAGGGAGAGCATCAGCACCCCAGGGACAGATCCCCAGCCCCATGACACGGGCACTGCGCTGATCATCCCCTTCCCACGGCAGCAGGCACCGGAAAGGGCGGTGTGCCACTGGGTGCTTGTTTGAAACACACTGTTGATGAGCTTTTAATTGCCAGCACGGTGGCAAGGAGTCACTCGGAGAAACTCCTCCCGATGCCTTCGCTCCGCACTAATGGAGAGCGCAGTGCCCGCAGCACCGACCCCAGCAGCACCATCAGCCACTCTGCAGGGCCAGCACGTGCTGCTGGGACTGTGGCGGCTAATGGCATGGGCTTGGTTATGCAGAGGCATCCAGGGACACCAAACTCTCCAAGCAGGACGTGGAGGGGCTGCAGAACACACTGCGGTCTCCAGCAGAGACAGGTTCTCAGGGCAGCTCAGCTGCCCAAGCTGCAGCCCAGTGCCACGGTCCCATGTGAGATGGCACTGGTCCCATCCCTGGAGGGGACACAGACTCCCCTGGAGGGGACATAAGCCTCTGGTGGGGGAGTGCTCTGTACAGCCTGTAGCCAGGCAGCGCTGTGACAGCCTTTCGCAGTGCCCCTGGGATGGGATCAGCCGGGTTTGCTCTGAAATCACTGCCTTTGGGGCTTGGAAAACAACCCTGCGCTTGAGTTTGTGACCTGCGTTAAACACCTCGGCAGCTAATCCCTATTTTTCCTCGCACTGGGTAATATAAACAGCTGCATTAGCACAGACTCCAATCCGCGGAAATTGAAATTAATTAGATTGGATTCTCTTGCTGTATTTGTGTGTGTGATCATTACCATAATGAGATGAAAGCGTCCCTGCTGCTTAATAACGTTAGCAAACTTTGGGGCTGGGAAAGGGGACGGGATGGCAGTGCACGCCGAGCACAGATGCAGGGCACTAGCAGCCTCCACCACGGGGCATGACCCCACACAGGGGGATCACTCAGCTCCAGGTCACCTAAAAGGGCATGCAGGTCCTCCCACAACAAACATATCCAACCTGGGCAGCCCCATCCCGCTGGAGACACCTCAGCCAAGTAAGAGCTGGTGAAGTGCCCAAATCCCTGCTAAAAATGGTAATGCCACTTCACCAGAGGCTTGCCACACAGTGAAGATGCCACGTCTCCCGTGTTCCCTCTGCAACCAGCATGTGGCCTCTACCTCCTCTGCTTCTTCTCCAGGTCATGGTTGCGTCCCTGCTGTCCCTCGAGGTGCAGCTTGGTGTCCTGCAGCTCAGCAGTGAGGCGCTGGCACTTCTTCTTTAGCTGCTGCAGCGCCCGCTGGCTCTCCTCACTGTCTGCCTGCAGGTCTGCCAGCTGCGGGCAGGAGTGGGCAGGGCGGTGAGGGCTCCAGAATGCCACCACATCCCTGCTTCCCTCAGCTCCGAGCAGCCCACCCCATGCTGAGGGGACCAGGGGTTCCCCAGAGCCAAGCTACACTCACCTTGCGCTCCAGCTGCCTCTTGCCCTGCTGCTCCACCTCCAGCTTGTCCTCCAGCTCCTGCTGCATCCGTTTCTTGGTGAAGTCGATCTCCCGCACTGCCCGCTCGTATTTCAGCCGCCATTCGCCACCTGCATGGGAAATGGGGTCACCGAGGGGCTGTGGGGGTAGCATGGGGCCACTGTGGAGAGGACACTCAGTGTGTGCCAGTGGCCAGCACCAGACACTGGATGGTACCTGAATCATCATCGTCCAGCTCCCCGTTGAGCTCGGCTGCACGGATGAGCCGAGCCTCCATCACCTCCATCTCCATCAACTCCATCTGCTTCTTCAGGGCATCGTACTTGGCCTGGGAGGGGACACAGCTGTGATGAGCGCCAGGTGGGGGACGGGAGACGCGGTGAGGCCAGGGAGAGGCACATTTACCTGCAGGGCCTTCATCTCCTTCTCAGCCCGCCGCCTGTCGGCCGCCAGCAGCTGGGAGGCTGACTCGCCCGTGTTCCGCTCGTCTGTCAGCTCCGATGTCAGCTCTGTGATCTGGGGGCAGCAGGGGAAACCGGACCATGAGCTGGGGCAGGTCGGCACATATTGTACCCTATCCTAGCACCGGCAAGGACCTACCCTGCTCTCCAGGCGGTCGCTGTTGAGCCGCAGTTCGTTACGCTCCTTCTCCACCTTCTCGAGTTTGCTCTTCAGCTGCTGGA